GTTTGTGCATGAAATCCTGCTACTCCCTTACCTTTGAGACAAGCATTTTCAAAAAGTTGATGGTAGGGGACTGCACATTTTCTTTGCTGCTACCCCAGCCTGATCCCTCTTCATTTTGCTTTTCAATGTCTTAAAATTTAGTTTTCTGTGCAGTCATTCACACTGAACCCTGAAAAGAAGATACTTATATATTTATAACAATAAAAGAGAAAGAATTTCTTGACTTTTATGGGCTTCTGATATTTTATTAGCCAGTCTACATTCACCCTCACCCTTACTGGTCTCCCTGTGGTAGCTCTAGCTCTGCTGATCTTGTAGACAAATGATGGAAGCATCTGACTTAGAGCCTTTTAGAATCAAAGAAGATTGAGAAGGAAAAGACCTGCTAGGTCATTTTGTCCATCCCCTGCCAATACAGGATCATGACCTACTGTACAATAACTTCACTAATGTCTTGCCAAGTCTCAATTTAAACAAATCAAGTGGTGGGGATTATATTACTTTTGGTTTCCTTGGGAAAAATATACCCCTGTTTTTCCATATTTGCTATGAAGAATTGCTGGGATATTCTACTTAATATTCCTAATATCACCATAATTACAGAATAACTTATTTTATTCTTGTAATAGTTGCTTCTTTCTTGGCATTTTTAATATATATTTAAAAATATATATAATATATTTTATTATATGTATTATATATTTTATTATATATATAATATATATGTTAAAAGCATATATATATGTTAGAATTATACATGTTCATATATATGTTAGAAGTATTTATCATGTAATTACTTTCAGCTTTCTTTATAGGTCAGATCATAAGTCCCTTATTAATGCTTGCTGTTTACTTTAATTTAATTTCCTTCCACTTTACTTATCTTTCTGGTATAGGCTGCTCAAAAAGGTGTGTATTGCTCATTAGATTATTCTAGGTGTGATTCTTAGGTGTTAGTGTTCTACAGCAGGGCTTTTGTCTGAGTCATAATGTGATGCATCAGGATTTGTATTTTTTCAAATCTCCAAAACTCTTCCTTTTAACTTAATGCAGCTGTCTGACCAGTTCTCATTCCTGTTTTTATTGCACCAATATACCTTTTCCACATTGCTGAAAATCTGTTTTAGTGAATTATCTTTCCAATTCTCAAGAAAGCCAACTTGCCCATTATTTTCATCACTGAGTATTTGAACTCATCCTATTTATTTCCTTATACCCTTTGTAGAGTGTAATGCTTCTTTTCTTTTTCATAATTTCTGAATCTTATATTTTACTGAAAATGGAAATAAAATAAAAAAAAAGCAGCTAGACTTTGCATTACATAAAGTATATTGATTTTTTAAACATCAGCCTATTTTTCCTGGAGTGGCAAGGGCTAAACAGCTACCAACATAAATGCATGTTTGTGGGTTGCCATTGCTACAGATTGGAGTTAAGGCTATAATGGATTATATCTGAATATTTCCAAACCCATGTGTATTTACCTTTCACTTGAACCTAACCTTCATGAAAAATTCTTATGATACTTTCTGCTTTGAAATAATTTATATGTAGTTTTAATTTTAACAGAACTTTCAATTTTTTTTGTTTCCATTGGAATTCTTTGAATTGATGGCCTGACTAGAAAATTTTGAAAGCCCAAAACTATAAAGAATAAAAGAAAAAGATATTGCATGATTTTTTAAAAAATTTCCTGGTACTACTTAATCACTTTTGAATAAAGCAAATTGTATTTGAAATTACTGTAGAAATTAATAGGATTTACTATTTACTTTGTTTGGCTACTTGTGAGATATTGTGTAAACCATGTAAGTTGGGTTGGATTTCAGTTTCAAAATATTATTTTAACTTTTTTTTTATTTTTTAAATTGCAAAATTACACAGATAAATGAATATTTTATAAATAGAAGAATTTTTGAAGTTTCTGTATGTCTGTTATACTTAATGCTTGTATATGTAACTGTCCTTCTCTTTCCCCAATAATGTAACAAAAGATCATAGGTATATATTCCTTAATAAACACATATTCCTTCACTGTCAAAAGTAGCTCCAGGCAAAAAGTTGGCAAGTAAAGAGTTAACAAAAAGGTCAATGAAATGTGAAGACATCTGGTCCTCAATGTGTACAAAAATAATATTTGCAGCTTTTAGATGTCTTTTATGTTTCTATTGCGCAAAAATAGATTTTTTTTTGATTGAACATTTTCAGCCTTCCATTGACTGAAATAGATGACTGCCTTAGGGCATTTTTGGAAGGGAAAACGAAAAGAAAAATGCTAAATTCCTTTGTTCAGAACTGCTGCTCTGCATATCCAGTAAATTTTTTAATACAAAGACATATCAGTCAATGGGGAGTTTAGTTTGCAAAAGGACTCCAAGATTAGGTTTTTAGTATGCAAGTGTGACCACCAAACAGGCAGGATAAGACTGTGGTGACCAGGAAGGGGCAGGTACACCCACCTTCTCATTTTCCATATTTCAGAAATTTACAGGTATTCATATTGAAGTAGTCTCTCCAAAATAGGAGAGAGGACCAGGGAGGTAAGGATGAGAAATAGTTCACACTGCAGGACAGCTGGGAAGCAGCACCAGCTGCTGCCATGGTTAAGGCAGCCTGATGCTGCAGCAAAGAGCAAGGTGACTTTCTGGGCACGTGGGAAGCCTTCATTTTTTGCTGAGCTTTAGTCTGGACTATGCTGTCAGTACCTGTAGAGCTGGCAAATAATGCAGGCACAATGGATCAAAGCCTGTGTATGGAAGAATTCTGTGGCTAAGGAATGACATCAGCAGTTAGGAGACATAGTACTTAATTTCATTTTATTTTTGAATCAGCACAGATGTGTTTGCTAGACTGTTCCTCAGCTTTCCCTCTTGCTTGTATCTATAAGAAGAGGCTGCTGTGAGAAGCGGTGCTGTAGTTTTTGTGATGTATGCAACACCACAGCCTTAACTGAAGGTGCACTGAAAGGAAAAGCCAGATCCTTGTTCCATCTGTGGCTATCTGGGAAGCAGCTTTGCAGAGAAGGTCCTGGAGACTCTGGTGGGCTATGAGCCCATAGCACACCCTTTCAACACAAAGAAAGTCCAACAGCCTCTCCTTGGTTGCATCAGAAACCACACTGCATAACTGCATTAAGGGTGATCCTTTTCCTCCCAGCCCTGGAGAGGCTGCAGCTGGAGTGCTGCTCCAGTTCTGAGTGCTGCTCTGTACTGGAGTCAGCAAGGGGCCACAAAGATGCTGAAGGGCTTGGAACTTGTGAGTTAGGAGAGAGTGAGAGAGCTTCCATTGTTCAGCCTGGAGAACAGAAGGTTCAGGACGACCTTCATGCGTGTAAGCACTACTGCGTGGGGAGGAAAAAAGGTGGAGCTAGGATTTTAGGGGTGCCCAGTGATAGGCCAAGAGGCTATAGGCACAAACTGAAATGGGTGAAATTTCAATTCCTCATAAGAAAATGATTTTTTTAGTGCATATATGATCAAGCACTGGAATAGTTTGCTTGGGGAGGCTGTGTAATCTCTGTCCTTGATATTTGAAATTCAACACAACCCTGAGCAACATACTGTGGTTGATCCTGCTTTGAGTGGGGCAGTTGGACTAGATGATCCCCAGAGGTCTTTCCAACCTCACTCATGAAGGGATTCTGTGATTCATCATAATAAACTGTTGAGGTAATTAGAGATTTTGGAATACTTTACTCCTTTTTTTCCTTTTCTTTTCACCCCCAGGGAAAAATCATGTCATCAATAAACAAAAGGCTGCTCACACTGTGGTGTACCACTTCCCTCATTTTGCTTTCTGTTTATCTAATAGTGCTTTCTGTCAGGGCCTGGGCCCTGGAAGATCTAATGTCTCATGCAGTTCATATTACATGAAATGCTCACACTGCAGTGAATTAGTGATTGGGTTCAAGTCTCGTTGTGTTTCCTGGGGCAAAGGCAGTATATGCCACTATAAAAGTGCTTTTCTTTTAAAGGGCTGGAGGTTGATCCTACAATCACTTTCTAGTGTGAGCAATTCTGATATAAGGTTTTCTTCCCCAGAGCTACTCACTTTTGAAAGGGTGACTCTTTGCAGGAACCAACCGTTGTGTTGCATGTGGCAGTTTAGAAACTGGACTGTGAAAATATTTCTTCTTCTAAACACACGATGATAATGTGGATGGTTGTTAGCCATGCAATTCCTCCAGCAAGTGGGAATTGTTACTGCATACAAAATCAGTTTTTCTTTCATTATTTTTCAAGCAGTTACTTAAATATATATATATAGTATCTGCTATCAAGCAAGTAGGAAACAGAATGGGGAAAAATGAATGCTTCTCATTTCAATTGTGGTCCTTTTTTTAACTGGCAGTTGTTCCTGTTTTCAAGTGTTTGTTTCTACTTTAATGAGGATACCAACTTTCATCCAGTGAGATGTGTGGGTCACTTTGTTAGCGCACTTGCACACACTAAGGCAACACACCAGCTGGAAATTTGGACTTTTAGCTGAATTATTTTTCCCCAGCAAATGGCTTTCCTTTTGACATATTTTAATGTACTTGCACACTGAGAGGAAGAGTGGGTGAACAGAAAACAGACTGTTTTATTAACCCAGCAGTCACCTTTGAGATTCATACGTGTCCACTTTTTTCTTGCCTTTGTACCTAATCCCAAGAGCCTGGTACCTGGCTTCCCTTGGAATAACAAAGTCAGTCACAAACCTCCAAACATGATTGTTAACTGAATGCCAACTGTTTCTTCTCATCTTTTTTTTCCCTTTTTTGTTTTTTTTTTTTCCTTTTTTTTTCCAGTACTATGTTAGGGATTGTGTTCTTATGGGTGCCCAATAACCATAATATCAATTTGGATTTATACTGAAGTTTTGTTTTGGTTTTGTTTTTTATTTTTTTAAATAGTAGATGTACATTGTTCAAGAAATTAAATTGCTGCTTCTATTTTGTGTGTGTGTTTTATAGTGATTTTTTCAGCTGTGTGAATAGTGGGAAGGGAAGAAATAAAGCAATGCTGCAGGCACTTACTGGACTACAGTTTCAGCTCAGAGGAAAGCTACAGGATCAAAAGTGGCCAGACAAGCACCCTCGAGAAGAAGCCCATGCACATTATTCAGAGTGTCATATGCCAGTTTCACAGTATCCTGCGTTCAATGGATTTTTTCCAATGGGAACACACTTTTCATCAGACAAAGCTCCAGCAATCTCAGAGGTACCTATACTACCAGTAGATATTTACAAAGCAGATTTCAGAATGCTGTGTTATCTGCCAAAAGCTATTCTTAATTTTAACACATTTAACTCATTTTGGAGTGCGCCTAAATGAAATCAGGGGAGAGGTGAGGATGAAGCTGCTGGAATTACAATGTTCTAAAATAAAATACGGCTCAAGCAAGCAAATACCAAGGTATTAAACTAACTAAATCTTGTCCCTCTGATGTCTCAAATCATGTCCTTTAAAGCATTATTCTTTGGATCAACTCTCTAATGGTCCAGGGCCAACAATTTGCCCTCTATGTTCCTCTTGGATAGTGGAATGTCTCTGGAGTTTTCTTTCAGCACCACAATGTATTTCCAGACAGCAGACAGGCTAAGATCCAGCCAGCGGGCAGTGAGAACAGAGTCCAGCAGCTTCATGTTTGCTTCCTTGCCCCTTGTCAGAGCAGAGAGCATCTCATGACAGAGGCAGAGAGGATGCTGCACCCTGGTAAATCTGTGCCTGGCAAAAAAGGTTTTGGCACCAGCCATTTGGGGATACATTTTTTCCTGCATTGTTGTTGACAGCCTGGGGCAGTTCTGGACTGTGATCTGGTCCCCTATCTCCAAGGATTGGTGATGGACAAGTGGTTTGGTACAGTGGCTGCGGTGTCCAGAACAATTTTGCACAGGCTATCTACTCCTAGCCCTTAGCAGAGTGTGTGCAGGGCTGCAGAGCTGCCTCACAGCTACATCACCTCTTGTGAGCTGTGAGCTACTGAGTGGCTAAAAACCTGTCACTGGACAGATTAGATGATGCCACCATATTTCTTTCTATTTGAAAGTAACTGTGGTATTTTAAATACCACATGGTGGCAGCTGTTGATAAAGGCTGGTACTAGTTTGTTTTTCATTTTTAAAACTGAAGAATTATAAATGTCATTAAGTGGAGCAGCCAGGTTTCAGACATTTCAGACGTGTTACATCAGGAATGTTCTGATAACTTGGTATCTGATGCACGGAACCTTTCTTTCCTAGTTTGCAGTGGGACCAAAAATAAAAATATAAATAGAGATTCAAACTCTGAATCCAACAATGAATATTTTAAGCCTTTCTTTGACTGCTAATAAACTTTCCTTCCTGTTCTCAACACTCCCTTTCTTTTCTGGGCTCCCTCCACTCTCCCCTTCCTCCAGTATTCTTCACTGTAGCCTGGGGAAAAGAAGTTTTAGAAAAATAGTAAAGTTTTTATTTATTCCTTACAGCTTTTCTGCCCCTGTGGGCATTTGTCTGCCTGTCTGGCTAATGTGCTGTAATGAATCTGCTCTCTGCCATACACACACGTATCGTCCTATCAATCAGGGAGAGGAAATGCTGAGTATGGTGAGCACTAACAAGCACTCGGAGGGGTCAGTACACCAGTACACTACAGTGGCATGCCACTTTCCCTACAGGCTGCTTTAATTGGGGGAACATGAATGAGGCAGCATGTGGCTGGCACCATATTTTCTTGCCAATCTCTCTTTGGCAAACTGACCCCCTGTGCTTCACCTTTCAGGGCAGGGCTAGCCCCCCTCTGGTTCCTGCTGTGACAGAAGTCCCTCTCAACCTCGTTGGAGTCTCTGGGTTAACTGGAGCTCTGGAACTGCTGGAGGAGCTGGCTTGCAGAGGCTAGAGGGTGATCAAAGGGTGCTGCAGAGCCTGTGAGGATAGCATTTCTTTGCAGGTTGGAAATCATGATGCAAATAGAAGTGGCAAAAGATGGAGAAAAGGGTGCAGAGGAAATTTAAAGCAAGGGGGAATAGGAGAGAGAAATGGTGAAAAAATTGGAACTAGGGAAATGGGAAGGGCTGAGAAAAAATCTTGAGAAAACAAATAAGAGAAGAGAAAAATATAAAGAACTAAAAGATAAAAAGGTGTAGAAAGTCACATATTACTGAAAAGCAAGGCTCAAAGAAAAAAAAGAGAAAACAAAAAATATTCCTGTGCCTAAATTAGGACAGATAGGAAGGAACACCTCCAGAAGAACTCAAAGACTATCAGGAGACCAGAGGTATTTTTCATGGCAGGTTTCAGAATTTGGACAAGAAATTGTGTCCAATCCATAATTAAGTGTCAGTGTTTTAAGTTATATACCTATAGATAGGTTGACTTCTAGACATGATTCCTTTTCACCTTTGTGGGGTGCCAGCACGCTGTTAAGGACCCACTGACATTGCCTTGTTGCAAGACTTACTACTACTGAGTACATTTTCTACTGGAGGTTTCTCAGCAAAGTCTTTGTTGGCTGTTTGGAAGGAGAAAGGGATTTGTTGAGAAGAATGGAGGGATTACAAATCTCTGAGGGGCAATAACATGTAAAGTGAGATTTTGGGGTTAACAGTATGTAAGGATGGAGATTTGTACCTTTTTGGCAAGTATGAAATTTTCTTTGCCCAGAAGTTCTTGTGTTCACAGATGTAGCATGTTTGCATGGCAGTCAAGTGAAAAAACATCTTAAAGCAGTTTTTCATTGCCCAGAGCAAGCACTGATGGGGAATCCATTCTGTGTGAAGATTTACCATGGAATGCCATTGAGAATGCTGTCTTTGAGATCAAGGGTTTGGGAAGTAGCAGGAAAGGGTTAGTTTGGTACTTTAAAAACAGTAGCCAAGGCCCAAGAAAGAGCTTGAAGACTGAGACCTCTCTTTGTAACACAAAATCTTGAGTCAGATTAATTTCTGTGTTGATCAAGGCCAGTTACCTGTGTTCTGCAGGAAGCCAGGTTAACTTATAGAAATACCCAAGGCAGTGAAAGAGCCACCAGATTTTTCCCTGCAGTATTTGTAAGCTCTATGAAGTAAGAAGCGTTGGCTTTAGCAAACACTGATTGAAGATTCTGGAAAAAAATCCAGATCAAAGTAAGATGCCACTTGTAACTCAAAAAGTGACTTCTGCTCTTGAACAAATGCCTGAAAAGGTGAAAGGCAATGTGTTATGAGGAACGCCATCCATCAGTCACCGGGCAAAGGCTTACACCGTGCTGCCCTTTCCTCAGGAATGTTCCACTATATTAGTGAAAGTTCACCTTAAACACTGAATTCCCTTTGAAGGAAAATTCATTTTCTCTAGGAGTGGTTTTTGTCCAATATTTGGTGAAAATTTTAGTGTCTTTTTTTTTCTTCAAACGATCAGTTAAAACAAACTAACAAGATAGAATCAAATGGAGTAGAATAGAACATTTTAGGTTGGATAAAGCTTTAAAAATATCAAGTCCACTGTTAACTGGACACTGGCAAGTCCAACACTAAACCCTGTGCCTAAGTGCCACACGTACAACCTTTTCTAGATACCTCCAGGAATGGTGGTTTTGCCACATCCCTGGGCCATCTGTTCCAGTGGTTGACAGCATTTTCTGCAAAGAAATTTGTCCTGATACACAATCTAAATCTCCCCTAGAGCAAATTGAGGCCATTTCTTCTTGGGATTCTTTATGCTGAAAACCTGTATCTTTGTCAAAGACATGAGTCAGAGACCATGATCAATTGGAAACAAGCAACATTGCAGCAAAATAATAAACAAAATTTCCATATAAAAATGAGTATAAATAAATAAATTAAATCAGTAGGACTAGTGATATTGATGTAGTTGTGTATTTGGGGCTGATCTGACCATTACTGGATGCTGTATCAATTCGTACCACCACAGATCCAGTAGGAAGCTGGTAAGAAGGTGAAGACTAACCAGAGACCAGTAAATCATTAAAGTATAAAAAAGATCTAAATTACCATTAAATATTTTGGGAGCATTAACTGTTTAACTAGGGCAAAATAAAATTTAAAGGCAACCTGCAGAAGAATCCCTCAACAGCTAAGAGACACCAAAGCATTGAGAACATACTCTCCAACATACACAGCAAAGGTATGACACAGACTGAGATTGGAAGTTGATTTCAGGTGCCTGAGTAATGAGTATAAACATAAGAGTAATGTTTTACTGCATATACTGGGAAAAGCTCTGCATAAGAATCTGCCTGTTAACCACTTTAAAATCCCCACTCTACTGTTCTTTTCTCAATGAGTGGCTAGGAAGTATAATATTGTTGCAGTGGCCTAAGACACTAAGGAAGCTTGAAGATAAGCTTCTCACAAACATAACATAAGAACAAACATTGTCTATAAATGGTTGTATTTCTTTTGCAAATAATTGTTTTAGGTTGCTATTTTAATTTTAATAATTTCTCTTTTGAAACCTTTCTGCAGGCAAATTTTGTATTTAAAGATAGAACAGGTCCAGTCCAGACATTGCTAGGAGGGAAGTCATGGCTTTTTAAAAGTATTCTCAAAGTCACAAATACCTTTAATGTCCTCTGCTGCCTGCCTTATATCTCCCATATAGGCAGTCTCATTTACCCAGTGTCTGCTACACTGGCATCTTTCCAGTTTATTTTTCAGATGTGCTCTCTTGATTGCAGCAACTTTATACAATAAGGCAAATCCTTTCTTAAGCTGGTGTGTTTTTTTGGTGGATTGGCACATAATTGGAAGGATTTTTGACAGATTAGGAGACACTATGAAAGGGAGAACAGAATGGCAGATTTTTACTTCTCTCACCAAAAAATATATAATTTAAAAGCTGAAAATGCACTCCATGTCAAAGAAGAACCATTTCAGATCCATGTACATATGCCATCTGCCTCCATAAGCTCTCTAATACCATTATAGGGCTTTGCTTCAGGCCGCAACTGCTGTGTAAGTGATGTAGTAGCAGCATACAGAAACACAAGAACACTTAAACTAGAATACATCAGATGTCTATAAAGCTTAATAATCTGTTTAGAATACCTTCACTGGGCTCTCACCTATCTCCATATTGTATTTGCGTTGCCCTTGGACGAAGGAAGGAATGATGAATCTGACTCCATGTTCTCAGAAGGCTCATTTATTATTTTATGATATTATATTAAAGAATGCTTTACTAAACTGTACTAAAGAATACAGACAGGATACTTACAGAAGGCTAAAAAGATAATAATGA